CCTTCTCATCCTCTCCCCGATGCTTCACCCCCAGGCCCAGCGACTCGAGCCCATTCCCAGGGATTCCAGCTCAATCCCTCCAACCCTCTCTCTCTCTCTCTCTCTCTCTCTCTCTCAACCCAGCTGTATTTTCACTCAATATTATCGCCTCCTCCTCCTCCTCCAAAGGATGCAACCCTTTTCTCTCCCACTCATACCCACCTCCCCATCCCCCAGCTCAACCACTCCAACCCCATCTCTCTATCTTTCTCTCTCTTTCTCTGAATGGTTAATGGAGTAAAGGAAAGCTCATATAGAACCCATAAACATGATCAAAATGTTTTTCTTTAGGTCTCTTGGCCTATCAATGGCTAAGTCAAATGGGTATTTAAAATAACAAATGTGTATTGCTTCAATTGGTGAAAACCAATCATGTTGAATTTTTGAAATTAAAGGTGAGTCTTGATGGCTTCGTGAGTTGGAATTAGGGAAGTGGCTAGTGGAATTGGATGGAATTTGGGGGAGGAGGAAAGGAAGAGAGAGAAAGAGAAGGGTGTGGGAGTGGTGGGTTGATTTTTATGAAAATTATTTTATTTTTTATATTTTATATTTAATGTTATTTTATTTTTCAGTATTTAGTTATTTTTAATGTACAAATTGACCAATTTGCCCTTATATTTAACAGCAAATTAGATGAAATGTTGACGATTTAGATGACAGAGGGGAAATTGGAGGGAAAAAAAGTTCATATCCTTAATTTTCTAAAAAAAAAGGATAAGGGGCAAATCGAAAGTTAGTACAAGTTCAGGGGTAAATCACTAGTATACCCTTACTATTTTACTTTATTTTTTTGTTTTAATAATATTTTTATCTATGTAGAGGTGGGCTCCACTTGCCACGTCACCCCTCAATTGTGAATAATGATCCATGTGTACAAAATTACAAAAGCACCCCTGCCACGTCATCATATTTAACAGACTTTTGGACGGAATTGACAGTAGGGGCAAAGTGGGTCACTAAACCACTATCAAGCGGGGTAAGTGGGCCACTTTAAGTTTGGAGGGGCAAAGTGAGATTTGATCGTAGTTTCAGAGAGCATTAGTGTAAAAATGTCTTTTTATTTTTATTTTTTCTACGAGAGGCTTTTTTGAAAAATTTAAAATTTATTTTAGAATTAAAAAAGATAATGGGTAGTTGTGTTCAATAAAAATATGATCCATTATCTGATTTTTCTTTTCATTTTAATTTTTGTTAAATATAAAAAAGTGTGAATTTACCATATTATCCTCATTTAATTAATAATTTTAATTCTTAATGTTTGCATTAATCAATGGTATTTTATGGTATTTTGAATATTTCACCATTCTCTGCCTTTCGCTATATATATAGATAATTATCCTTTTTTTTTAAATGTGGTCATCTATCCTCAATTATGGATTGGTTTTTTTTTAGGTAATTAAATGAATTTATAACCAAGAAGGGAAAGCCCAAAGAACAAACAACAAGAAGGTCAAAAGACCAACCCGCGTTGTCAAGAGAAGTTTTAAAACTAACTTGAGTGTTACAGCAAGGGGGCAAGAAGAGTTTCTGAAGATCGTACAAGTAGGGCAGACGAAACAGTAAAAACCGACGTGCAAAGGCAGAACACCTGCAGAGAATACAGAGAGAGAAATCTTCAGTGCCAATTTGCCAAAAAGAAAAGGCGACAGAGAGAGTTCTTAGATTCGTGGATTAGACTGGTACACTCAATGAGAAGACTCTTTCCATGCATTTGGACAATATATTTCTTTCTTAACCTTATGGCATTGCTAAAATTTCCTTGTTATATATGTATTTTTCTTGGTCTGAGAAATTTGTGTTGTACGGTTAATTCTTTTATTGTTAACTGTAAATATTGAGTGAGCAGAATTGGCCTATAAGGAAGAGGACGATACTGCAGCAGGTGTTGGTAAAGACAAAGACAAAACATAGACATCCCTAAATGGCTTGTCTACCACCTTGTTACTTTTCCTTGTTTTAGGGATGGAAACTCTCCATGTTTCCCTCCATGTCTTGTGCATTGTTTGTAACTAATAATCACCTTGTATACTTGTATATCTAACCCTTCACCAAGTAAGTAATTCAATTGGCAGATTTGAATTCTCTGCAAAACCTATCTTGTTCTTCTTGTTCTACATTCTCAACTCTCTCAATTACACTATATTTGGCATGGTATCAGAGCAATCGATTTTGGTTGCCTCTGCATAACCTTGTTCTTGCCTAATCTCTA